TCTCTCAGACAGATCTGGTTTTGTGGTGACTAGAGGGGGAGGCCGTGGAAATAGAGGTGGTGGTGGTGGTCGTGGCCTTCCAGGTAACCGTGGTGGTCCCATGTTTAACCGTGCTGGTGGCCGGAGTGGAGGTCAGGACTCAGGGGGAGGTCGTGGTAAAGGAAGAAGTAAATGCCCTAGGAARTGTACACACTGTGGATTAGAGGGGCACACGGTTAATTTCTACTATGATTTACATGGTCCACCCAACACTTGGGCTAACCATGTTATGACTAAGGGTAGTGGTACAATTACTGAAAGTCAGCAAACTAACCCGATTCCCTCCACATCTTCTGGTGCTTCTGGGAAGGAGATGGTGAGTGTACCCCGTGCAGTATATGAGCAGTTCCTTCAGACATCTCAGCAGAACACAGCTACCCTTGCCCATTTAGGTATGGCTTGCTTGGCTTCCAAGCCTTCACCCTGGATCATTGACTCCGGAGCCTCGGACCATATGTCTAGGACTCCAAATGTATTTTCTTCTCTTTCTCGGCCCTCCGCATCTCAAACAGTTATTCTTGCTAATGGTTCTACATCTCTCATCTGTGGTGTTGGTGATGTTGATCTCTCCTCCTTGTCTTTATCATCTGTTTTATATGTTCCCAAGTTCCCCTTTAACCTTATGTCTGTTAGTAGATTAACCAAGTCACTTAATTGTTCCATAACCTTTTATCACTCTTCTTGTGTGTTTCAGGATCTCAAGACGGGGATGAAGATTGGTGGAGGGCATGAGGCAGGTGGATTGTATTACCTTGATGGTGGTGGTCCTCCAATAGCTTTTCAGTCTTCTCTTACTCCTCTTCAATGGCACTACAGACTTGGTCATCCTTCTCTCAAGGCTCTGAAGTTGATGGTTCCTTCCTTGAGAGTCATCTTTGGATTGTGAGTCATGTCAACTTGGGAAACATCATAGAGTCTCTTTTAGTCCAAGAGTTGATAGTCGTATCTCGAGTCCTTTTTCTTTAGTTCATTCTGATGTCTGGGGTCCGATCAAAGTGATGTCATACAATGGCTATAAGTATTTTGTAATTTTTGYTGRYGACTTTTCAAGGATGACATGGATTTATCTTATGAAAGATCGCAGTGAAGTGTTTTCTATTTTTCAAAAATTTTATGCTAAAATATGTACCCAATTTGGTGTTCATATTAAAACTCTTCGCTCCGATAATGCCAAATAGTACACATCAATACCATTTCAGCAATACTTAGAGCACCATGGGATAATTCATCAAACTTCTTGTGCCTACACCCCACAACAGAACGGTGTAGCTGAACGGAAAAATCGACATCTCCTTGAAACTGCTCGGTCTTTGATKCTTAATATGAATGTCCCAAAGCATTTTTGGTGTGATGCTGTCCTCACATCTTGTTTCCTCACCAATCGGATGCCCATGTCCATCCTTGGAAGTCAATCCCCCTTCTCAGTGTTGTTTCCCACCTTGTCTCCATTTCCTCTCACCCCAAGAGTTTTTGGATGTGTTTGTTTTGTTCAAAACTTGGGGCCTGGTTTAGACAAGTTAGATGCACGAGCTACTAAGTGTATCTGCCTTGGCTACTCAAGGACTCAGAAAGGGTATAAGTGCTATAACCCTAACTTGTGGTTTCTTCTCCTTCCTCCGTAGTTCCTCTTCCTGTCCCTGTTGCGGATCCCCTTCCCGTGGTTCCCATTCCAGTTGTAGATTCACCTCCCATGCCAGTTACTACTGAGAGGCCACCAATCAAACACGTGTATACTCACAGAAGAGCACCGGCCCCTCCTCCAATTCAGCCCTCGTCGACAGATCCTGTCATTGCTTCTTCTTCCTCAGACCTTGATCTTCCTATTGCCCTGTGGAAAGGTAAACGGAGTTGTACTTCTCATCCTATTTCACACTATGTTTCAGCTGCTCACCTTTCTGCTTCTCATCGCAAATTTATATCATTGCTATCATCTGTTTCCATTCCCAAGACTGTCCAGAAAGCCCTTACCTCCCCAAGGTGGCGGCAAGCCATGGAAGAGGAACTCTCTGCTCTACAACACAATCACACGTGGGAACTTACTACTCTTCCTCCTGGTAAGCATGTTGTTGGGTATAAGTGGGTCTACACAGTGA